AAATCCCATCCCTCATTTTCCCCACCAGCCACATATCTCACTTATCATTTCCTCTCCTCCTTCCTCCACATCGCTGGTGCGGTGGAGATGACAGGCGTGGCAGTGGTGGATGGCGGTGGGCGTCGGGTGCAGGTGGAGGTTTTTTTATGCATGTGTGTGTGGGGGGGGGGGGCAATGCATGGTCAGCGGAGGGCGGTGGGTTGGGCCTCCACGATGACGGATCAGCGAAGACAGCATCCGACCACCGCCACCACTGACAATGCGGACTATGCCTAGACGGATCTAGCCAAACACCCCATGACCTCAACTCGGTTGGATTCTGAGGAAGGGATTTTGAGGAGGGAGGAGGAGGTAGAGGTGAGGAGAGAGAAACGGCGATGGAGATAACGAGTAGGGTGGTGCGTGTTCTGCTGGTGTCAGTGGCGGAGTGCGCGGCACTGCTAGTGACAACAACGGTGAAAAAGGACAATTAGCTCGGTACTCGTCTCAGCCCCTCTCCCTTTCCCTTTGCTTCATGCGCCACCTCATACCCAGATCTGGCAGATGATTCTCATCTTTGATTTCTCTATGTTCGAATTAGGATGAGGGTGTTCTACAGCATGGCGGGGCAAGTGGATGTGATCTAGACGCGGCGGGGTACACAACAAATGTGGCATCACCAACGCCATCTCCAAGTACAAGAACACAACACCGACGTCGAGCAGCAAGAGGCCAGGAGCAGGGATGAAGACCTGTATGTTTGTTTGATGAATCTCCACATCAATAACAGCTCATGGGCTTGGATTTTCTTTTTTTAAGCTGAATTTTCACATCTGCGACGGCTCCAAATTCTTAGCCATTACAGATGAGTCTTCACATCTATAACTGTTGGGTTGTAATGGCTCGTCTAACCATTAAAGATATGGGTATTCAGCCATTACAGATGTAGGGTAATGTGCTAGTGTTTCCTTGACTCACTACCACATAAATACTCATTGGTGCCGGATCCGAAGGCCTCATAGTGCCGGCTTCGGACCCGAGGGGCAGAGGTGCTGGATCTGGAACCGACACCTATAGTTTTCAACGAATAAAAAAAAGAAAAATAATCCGAACCGCCCACCACCGGCCGGCCACCACCCCGCCCGGCCTACGCGTCAACCATCTTCACTGTCGCCGCCATCACCAGATCTGAATGAGACGGGGGGGAGGGCGGATAAAGAGGATGAGGGAGGGGGGCGGTATGCCTCCTCCTCCTCCGCCACTGCCACCAGGTCCGGCCTCTGCGCTGGCCATTTCCATCGTCGATGCCATCACCAGAACTAGAGGGAGATGGCCGGCAGAGTGAGCGAGCCGATGAGCCTCCTCCTCCTTTGCCGCAGCCACCCACCTTTGCACCGGCCTTCTCTACCGCCGCCGCCATCACTAGATCTAGAGGGGCCAGGAAAGAAAGGGGTCGGCGAGTGAGGAAGACGGCAGCGCCACACCGCACCGTGCTCCTCCTTGCCATCCAAGGTCGCTGGGGGAGAGAGGGGGCCGACGAGCCTCCTCCACACCACCGCCGTCGCCGCCGCTACCTTGCCTGGCCTCCACGCCCAGATGGTCCACCACCGCAGGATCTTTGCACCGGCCAGCTTCCGCGCCGCTACTCGGAGAGAAAGAAAGAGAGAGAGAGGTAGAGAGAGAGAAGGGGAGGATGGAGGAGGACGGCACGAGGAGAAGGGAAACGTTGCATATGCAAGAGAGATGCGATGTGCATATAAGTATGAGTGGGGCGACTTGTTGGTTCTTTTAAAAAACCGGTACCTATAGTATTGATACCGGTTTTTTCTAATGAACCGACACCTATAAACCTTAAAGGTGTGGGTTATTTTTTTTTCTTCGTGCGGAGGTGGAAAAAAACCCAAAGGTGCTGGTTTTAAGTGAATTGGCACCTATAAGGTTCCTATGAGAGTTTCTGTAGTAGTGACTCTTTCTTGATATCGCGGCTCATGTCCGAGAATTCATGCATGATTCCTTCATGAAGCGGCAATGATAGATCATCATTATCGATGTTCATGACTTATTGATGGTATAGCTCAGCGTATCTTATGATAGTCAAATTATTAATTATTCAAACCATTTAATGATAGCTAAAGAAAGTTCACTATATCTTATGAGTTGTTCGTATCAAATAATTAAGCAGATAATAACAACAGGCTAGACCATCATTCTTGTCTTTAATGCGCACTGATAAAGTACCATGCAATAATATTTACGACGTACTTTCTCTAGTTAAATTTAGGAAAAATTGGTTATATAGTATCGGAAGTTCACGTTTTTTGTTTTATAGCACCGAAAGATACCGGTTCACTTTAATAGCACCCAAAGTTCACCCTGTTCCTATTTTTAGCACTTCCGTCAATTCTCGATCGTTTTTCGTCCGTCTCCAGCCACACACACGATATGACGTTTCTACCCCTCACAAATACAAGTAGAATGCATGTCAATGAGAGGTAGAAACGTCATATCGTGTGCGTAACTGGGTCAATAACGATCAAGACGGTCGGAAAAATTGACGGAAGTGCTAAAAATGAGAACAGGGTAAACTTTAGGTGCTATTAAAGTAAACCGGTATCTTTCGGTGCTATAAAACAAAAAACGTGAACTTTCGATGCTATATAACCAATTTTGCCTTAAATTTACTCCCTTTGCCCCAAATAATAAATCTAGTATAAAAGATGTTCCACATTCTATTACTTAACATGTTTATGGATGCTACTACAATATCGTGGGCGCTCTATAGTCGTAACCGTGACAACTACCAAAAAGGTACACCGTATCTCTCCAGCACGTGCCATTCAAAAACAGCACCGCACGAAACTTTCGTGTGCGCCCATTTCCTGCTCGGCCAACCCACGCTGCCCATGCAAGAGCCGAAGAGTGACTTAATTAGCTTCTCTTCCCACCCATGTGCAGCCATACAATTACACACATAATTAAGGCCACCGAGAAGAAAATATTAGAGGTTTGCGTGACCATTCACCATCAATAAAAAGTAATATAAAATTGAAGGTTCATCGAGCAACTTTGCAGGTAACCATCCCACATTTCCACATGAATATATGTAAAAAAAACACAAACATGCTTTTAAGCCGAAAAACATCTTGACACTTCGATCATTTCAGTTCATAAACTATATATATATCTATCTTCCGCCGATACTTCCATGTATTTATTTTTTAATCCTACATAAAAGGAGAATGGCAGAAAGGACCAATATACATATAGTTATATCTGTATTATGTATATGTTACTACTAAATAGGTTATATTACATCCATAATCATATTGCCAAAATTTGTGTCCGGCTTGCCATTAATTAGTTCCAAAATTTGTATAAACAACTTTAAACATCGTTAAATCAGAAAATAAATAGTACTGAAGTTACTTTTATTAGGAATACCTAAGTTACTTCTATCTTAGACCATGCATGTAAAAACAAAGTTGCTTGTATCTAAAACCAAATTAAGTTTCTTCTATCTGTACCGAAGTTACTTATATCTGGAAACAAAGTTACTTCTATATAAAATCAAAATTATTTATATCTGAAAACATAGTTATTTCTATCTAAACACCAAAGTTACTTTTATGCTAAAACAAAGTTTCATCTATTTAAAACTAAAGTTACTTCTATGTAAAACCAAATTAAGTTACTTTTATATTAAAACAAAGTTAATTCTATTTAGAAACAAAGTTACATCTATTTTTGAAACCAAAATTACTTCTATTTAGAACTGAAGTTACTTCTATCTAAAACCAAAGTTACTTTTATCTAAAATAAGTGTTCTTTTTCTTTGAAAATAAAACATATCAGGTTTTAGGTATAGACACATGTGATTATAGAGTTACATCTATCTAAACCAAAGTTACTTTTATCTAAAAGTTACTTCTATTTAAAACTAAAACTACTTTTATCTGAAAAGAAAAGTATCTGGTCGGATATATTTATGTAATTCGTAAAATATCAAAATGATTAAGAAGACCTAAACATATCATTTTAAATGATATCAACCTAAACAAATCCCACATATCATATTATACCCTAGGGCGGTTTGACAACCATGCCCACACCGCCGAACGCATCAAATTTTCGCCCCAAAAATGGGTGGTGCACTGATGTATTCCCTTTGCTCACTAAATGGACTCACCAAGTGAAATTTATGTGTGTAAACACACTTAACAAACTAAGGTACTAACAAAAAAAAACTCAAATGAGAATGTCAATGCCTTCGCCTTCGTATATCTATCCATTTTCAGATATTAGAAATTAGAAATCAGAAATCAAGCATAAAAACTGCACGTGCATTATCAAACTTCAACATATCAGCTGCATATGTCACCAAGGCCAAATTTTTAAAAAAGAGAGAGAGAGAGAGAGAGAGAGGCAAAAATCCTCTAATCAGCAGTGAAGCCAGTAAGACGAAAGAGAAATTGACAGAGAAATCCAACAGCTAGCCGGAGGAGCTCCTCTAGGTAGTCGGCTCCTGTGTCCTCAAGCTCACCACCCAACTTGTTATATTGATCCGTAGTTTGCTCCCAACAATTTCATACAAATTAACCCGTCGCGATAGCATCTGCAGTTTGCTCCCAGAATATTGCATACAAACATACGTATCACAAAAGCTGTGTTGCATACATTCAGAATACTGAATATGTACAGGCGCTCGCCCCCGTCTTCCACGGGCTTCTTCCAGCGCCTGCCGCAACCAACGATGACGCCATTTCCTCCACTGTTTTCCTCGCCGCCGTTGACAGGCACACCGGCCTGCGCCCGCTCCCCCGTCGCTTGTTCGGAATAGTATATATGGGCCAGAAAGTCAGACGGAGAGGGGCAGGCCCAGCTGTCAGTCAGACAAGCGCAGGCCCAGCTGATCCGCTGTGTGTTGGACTCCAGTAGGACCTAGGGCTACGCGGCTAGCTGTAGCCTTGTAGCTATCTATCTCATCGGGGGGTGCGTGCAACGCCGCCACCGACACAGACACCGCGTGTTCCGGACGCCGCCCTTGGAGAGGAGATGCAGCCCGCAGATCCGCCGATTCCGCCGCCGCGGCCGCCGCCGCCGATGCCCTCCAGGAAGAGGGGAAGGGGGCCCACGAAGGGCGACGACCCGGCCCCGGATGAAGCAGCACCTCCACGCAAGCCGTCGCCGCCTCTGGGCTCGGGGAGCAGAAGGGCTCGCAACCATGTTCCTCCACCGCTCGGAGTTGGAGGAGACGGCCGCGAGGAGGGCGTCGACTTCGTCAGCCACCTCCCTGACGCCGTTCTTGGCATCATCATCTCGCTCCTCCCGAGCAAGGACGGCGGTAAGACCAGAACCCTCTCCAAACGGTGGCGCCCTGTCTACGCACCACGCCGCTCAACCTCGACGCCAGCGATCTCGCCCCCGGCGCCAACGGGGCGGCGCTGGCCGTCCTCCTCACCCAGTACTCCTCGCTCATGCGGGGCCCGTACGCCGCTTCTGCATCCCCGCGCAGCAGATCCACGAGCGCCCCGCCATGGTCGAAGGCTGGCTGACATCGCCAAGGTTCAACAACCTCGAGGAGCTCGAGTTCACAGAAGACCTCTGCTATATGAGACAACTCCTTCCGCTGCCGCCATCCATTTTCCGCTTCTCCAACACCCTCCGCGTCGCTGCCTTCAGCCAATGCCGCGTCCCTGATTGCACCGACCTGATGCTCCAGTTCCCCCATCTCAAGCTGCTCTCATTACGGCAGGTGAAAATCTCCGAAACTTCCCTCCATAGCATCATCGCCGGCTGCCCTGCCCTCGAAGGTTTGCTGCTCAGAAATAGCTACGGATTCCGATGCCTCCGGATCAACTCCCCTACCACTAGAGGCGTCGCCTTCCATTCTCCCTACTGTTGGAGTCATGGCGATGGAGAGGTGTGTTACCACTTGGAAGATGTTATCGTCGAATTTGCTCCATGTCTTGAAAAGTTGCTCCATATAGAACAATCGGTGGGATTGGGAGTCCGCGTATCCGTTGTTGTGGCACCCAAATTGGAGACATTGGACGTCCTTGACGATGTTAAAGACGGCTATTCCGTACTCGATTTTGGCACGGTAGTTTTCAAGGTATGTGACTTCCTATTATCCCTATACCCCCTCGCAATCTATAGGGATTAATTACAAGTTGCATTTGCATTAATTTCTATGTGCATATATTGTTAATGAGATGTGGTGTTAAGAGTTTACCCATGTACGTCCAGTTCGGAGTCCGGGTTTTAATCTATTCTCTAAAAAAATATGTCGTCTTGGAGTTCTCTTTAGATGATATTAGTTTGATTCAGATAACATTATTTGAACATATCCTCATTCTTTCTTGAAGTTACTGTTCTAGAGACTATGGCGTACACACTTCATTATTGTCTGAGTTACTGGATAGCAAGCTCTCGCAACACTATGATTTGTTTGGTTGTGTGCATCCTCAGTAGATGTAGCAGCCAGATGTAATTTCATTGCTTGATTATATATCCATTATCTACTACTTCCGTCCCAAAATACATGTAGACGTCACCTAGTACTATAAATCTGCACAGAACCTATCTAGATTTGAAGTATAAGTGGTGTCTAATCGCAGAATTAGGTACCTATAGTTTTAGACTGCGGGATAGAAAATATGGTCGACAAATATATATTATTCACAAATGGCCTAATGTTATGTTCCGTGCTTAATATAGGGATTCGAGGTCGTTAACTTCACAACGCCGGTGTCGAGTGTCAAGGTTTTATCTCTCGTCATGAAAAATCTCAGCTTGGACAGGGTTATCATGTTAATGATTTGCTTTCCATGCTTGGAGAAATTGTACATCAAAGGAAAAATTCTTTTATTTTCAAGTATTGTGTTACAATACTTCTTTTGTCAGTTTAAATAATTAGAAGGTATTTAATTTGAAGAACTTAAATTATTCCCCATTTCTTATTTCAGGGGTTCAAGTGTGGGGAAACTAATTATTGACGCCGCAAGTATCTGAAAACTATCAAAAGCCATAACATATCTCTAAAGACTGTTGTGCTGGATGATTATCGTGGCACGAACCGGCAAAGTTCAGTTCGCCACATTCTTCATACGGAACGCGAGAAATCTTGAGAACATGATATTTACGGGTGGACCTAACAAATACAACGCATATTTTATTGCACAACAGCCTAAGCTGCTAGAGTTTGAGAAAAGGGCTTCAAAAACTGCTCACTTTCATTTTAGACCGAAGCGATGTTATAATGATTGGGTGCATATCAAGGATGTCCATGATTTGTCTCTTGCCGATCCTTTTGAATGTACCTGTTGAGACTGATGGGTGGAATTATTGTACCTTTTGAAGGTTCGAGCTAGGCAAGAGTACTTTGTGGAGGTGCTCGTTTCGAATTTAAGAGTACTGATGGATGTTGTCACTGAGCTGAAGAGCTATATTGATCATGTTGAAGATTTATCTTAATATATGTACCTTTGGATGTTGTTGAAGAAAAGGATTGATCTGGTGTATTGGGCTGTTGTTTCTCAGATACCATTGTATGTGTTTTTTTTTCCAATTTCTGCTGTAATAATACTGGTTAATAAAATTGTTGTTGATGCCATTTAGCTGTCATATTTTTTGATTATTTTTTGTTCTATCCTCAATCTTTTTTTATACATTATATTGGGCATCCTTTTTTTTATATGGAAGTCTGAAGTGTGACTATAACCTAGCGAAATTAGGGTTGTTATTGTTGCTGTAATTAAGGGAGAAGCTAAAACAGGTCACTATCAAATAATAGACTTTCTTCAAGGAGCAGCTAAAAAATGCCATTCAAAAGTGGAGTGCTTTGGGGTTTATTACCATACTAGTACAGTGCCCGTGCGTTGTGTAAAATCAAAGGTGCTTTTGATTATTATTCTGTGATGAACAATTGGGCATTGGAGATTATTGGTTTTGTTATTTGGAATTTATTCCCGAAGTGGTTTTGGAGATGATTGGATTCACAGGTGATCGCAGGATTCATTATTTCATGTGACCGGTCAGACCGGGCTCTGGTAGCCGGTCAGACCGGCGTGTAATGCGCGGTCAGACCGACGCAGCCCGCGATCTGACCGGCCGACACTGTATCGGTTTTGGTTTCGGGTTGTTTGTTTGGATATCTGAGTTTATTTCATGATTATGGCTTCTAGATGGATACTATACGTATGTAATACTGTTGTTTGCTACTAATGAGTCAAGTTGGAGATAGTTTGGTCTCGGAATATGGTTTCTTTGTTTATTTCATGTGTAGGTGACTCGATGTCTCGGGAGAGTATTTGCGGTGATGGACCGGGAGTCGGCTTGGGGATAAGACGACGTCCATGGTGGTCAGAGATCATGCGGGATACTAAGGCTAGAGTTGATGCACGTGGTTGATATAGATTTCATATGGCATACGATGGAGGTATTGTGTGCATATGGGATGCGGAGTCCAATTTGGAAGGAGTCCAAATTTGGTATGATTGGTTATGTAAAGTTTCTTTCTTGTACTAGTGGGTTTCCTAAGGTGTTTAGGACTCCTAGTATGAGTTTGGTTCGTGGCTTTAGGCTGCCTACCTCATGTATAAATAGAGGGGGAGCGTGAGGCTTCCCTATATCGCTTTGGAGAGCAATTGAGTTGAGTTTTGAGTTAGGGTTCCGAGTTTAGTCGAAATTTTTGTAAGGAGTGCTGTTGGTGCACTTTGTAAACACAGAGAGAATCAATAAAGTCGTCATCCACTTTAAGAGTTCTTCGATTTGTGTTTACTGGGTTTTGGCGGTCTAACCGGCAATCTATCGGTGGTCAGACCGGCGGCACAGGGCGGTCAGACCGACGGCATACGGGCGGTCAGACCGGCGGCGGCGACAGGCGCGGCAGGCAACTTCGGTGGTCAGACCGGAGATTCAACATCGGTTAGACCGGCGGCATCCACTCGGTCAGACCGGTAGATTAATCTCGGTCAGACCGACTTCCGTCGATTTCGAGGGTAACTTTTATTTCCGCTAAAAGTTTTCGGTTTTTGGTATACCAACCATTCACCCCCCACCTCTGGTTGGCTTAGTTGTTGTGATTCGATCCTACAAGTGGTATCAGAGCCTTGTTTTCTTGTATGGATTTTTATCGATCTAGAGTTTTTGCCATGGCTACTCCCGCTAGGTTTTCAACTAAGGCTCATGTTTTCGATGGAACGGATTTTTCTTATTTGGTGTAGTAGGATGCAATCTTATATTATGGCTGAAGATTATGATATTTGGAGAAAAGTTTCTCATCCTTATGTGATTCCTGAAGCTATTAATACTGCTGCTGAAAAACTGCTTTTGAACAAAATTGCAAAGCTCGCAATATTCTTTTGAGTGGTATTTCTCGTTCGGATTATGATCGTGTTGCTCATCTTCAAACTGCTCATGAGATTTGGACTGCTTTGAGTAATTTTCATCAAGGAACAAATAATATTAAAGAACTTCATCGTGATCTTTTCAAAAAGGAGTATATTAAATTTGAGATGAAACCTGGAGAAGCTTTGGATGACTATCTTCCTCGGTTTAATAAAAATTTTGAGTGATCTTAGATCTGTTGATTCTTCTTATGATGCTAATTATCCACAATCTGAGATTTCTCGCCACTTTTTGAATGGTCTTGACATGTCTATTTGGGAGATGAAAGTTACATCTATTCAGGAGTCCATTAACATGTCTACTTTGACCTTGGTTATACAAAATTGAAAACGCATGAGATGAACGTTCTTTCTCGTAAAGTTGATTCTAAGTCAAGTGCTTTGGTTTCTTCTTCTTCTTCTTTGCATGTTGATGCTTCTCCATCTAAGTCTTCTTTTCTTGCTATTTTTAATGCCACATCCGATGAACAAGTCGAATAGATCGAGGAGGAGGATTTGGCTTTGGTTGCTAACAGAATTGCTCGAGCTATGAATAATTCCAGGAATAGGAAAAGAGGTGGTCCAAAAAGTTGCTTTGAATGTGGTTCAATTGATCATCTTCGTTCACATTGTCCTAAGCTTGGGAGAGGCAAAAGAGAAGACAAAGATGGTGAGAAGACCAACAACAACAAGCCCAACAACAACAAGTCGAAGGGTTCATCCCAAGGGAGGAAGCTGGACAATCTCAGGAAGGCTTTTCAACAAGTTTGCGCCGCCTTCGAGCCACTAAGTGATGTAGATGGTGAAAGTTGAGATGATGATAAGGGAAAGAACGTCTCCGATGTTTGCTTCATGGCGCGTGGTGAATCTGACACAGAGTATGAAGATAATGAGGTGAGTGCTTTTGAGGAAGCTATTAATATTTTGAGTGCAAAAAATAAGAAGTGTGAGAAGATGTATAGAAAACAGGAATTTATCATTGAATCTCTTAAATCTGAATCTGATAGGTTAAAACCTCTTATTCCTAATGATGATGATTGCTCAAATTATGAGGTTTTAATGAGTGAGATTTCAAAAATTAGACATGTTAATGCTGTACATGATTTGAAAAATAGATCTTCTCTTGTTTGTAGTTTTGCTTTGCACACACGCACTTTGGATGAGTTGTTTTTAACTAAAAAGTTGTTGCAAAAATATCAAATTGCTTTTCATGCTAACTTGATGTTTAATATGATTTCTGCTAAAAAGTCAAAACAATCTCATGATGTTTTGGATTGCTCAACATGTAATTTGAATAAGTTGAAATTGAAAGATGCTTTAGGTCGTGTTGAGTTCATGGAAGATGTTGTGAAAAACAATGAAGTGCTTTCTTGCCCTAAATGTCGTAAAAGCAAAGGTGTCATGGTAGATTGTGAAAATTGTGCTAATTTGGAAAAAGAGGTTTCTTATTTGAAAATTCTTTGCTAAGATTTTCTGATGGTAAAAAGAACCTCAACATGATCTTGGATCAATCAAAGGTTAGCACACATAACCGTGGTTTAGGTTTTAATCCTTATGCTCATAATTCTAGACATCATCCTGTTGTGTTAGGTGTTGGTGCTAGAAGTGGTGAGATTTTGGTTAAACCTGATACTAACAAAACTGTGTTTAAATCTGCTGGTTTCATGTCTACCTTGAATGCATCTTCTTCAAAATCCAATGTTGTGCATGCAAAATCTCCTGTTATTGCTTGTGTTGCTAAATCTTCTAATGCTACCAATGTGTCTAATCATCGTGAAAAATATACTTGTTCTTTTTGTGGCAAAGATGGACATATTATTGGTTTTTGTTTCAGGTTAGCTCATAAACAGAAAAATGAGAGAGAGATTGCTTTTGCAAAATCAAAGTGGCAAAAATCGGGTTTTCCCTCGAGGAAACCGGTCAGACCGCAGTGGGTCCCACGGTCAGACCGATGACTAGTCAGACCGGCTACTGAGCGTCGGTCAGACCGGGCACCGGTCAGACCGGTGGTACAGAGGCGGTCAGACTGGCCACTGTACCTTGGTCAGACCGGCCTCGGAGGAATTTTTCTGAAAATTCTAAAATTGATTTTGCACGTGGATATATGCCTATTGGATCTGCTGGTCGTGTGTCTCAGTACTGGATTCCTAAATTTTTATTATCATCTAACCCCAGTACTGAGGCTTCGACTTCTGCTTGTGTGTAGGCTTTGATAGCAAGGAAGGAGAACGTGTGGATCATGGATTCCGGTTGTTCGCGACACATGACCGGTGATAAAAATTGGTTCTCCTCCCTAAAGAAGGCATCTAAGACTGAATCGATTATCTTTGGTGATGCTGCTACAAGTGCCGTTCTCGCTACAGGTTTGGTTAAGGTAAATGAAAATTTTGAATTGAAGAATGTAGCTTTGGTTGAGGACTTAAAGTATAATTTGCTTTCAGTTTCACAAATTGTTGATGAAAATTTTGAGGTTCACTTTAAGAAAACTGGAAGTAAAGTTTTTGATTCTTGTGGTGATTCTGTGTTGAATATTTCTCGTTATGGAAGAGTGTTTAAAGCTGATTTTGAAATTCATGTTTCACCTGTGATAACATGTTTAGTTGCTAAGTTTGATAAAGATGTGATGTTTTGGCATCGTAGACTTGGACATGTTGGTTTTGATCATCTCACTAGATTAAGTAGTTTGGATCTTGTTCGTGGTTTGCCTAAACTTAAGAAAGATCTTCATTTGGTTTGTACACCGTGTCGTCATGCTAAGATGGTTGCTTCTTCACATGTTCCTATTATTTCTGTGATGACGGATGCACCGGGACAGCTATTACAAATGGACACTATTAGTCCAGCTAGAGTGCAATCTGTTGAAGGAAAGTGGTATGTGTTGGTTATTGTTGATGATTTTTCTCGATATTCTTGGGTTTTCTTTATGGCAACTAAGGACGAAGCTTTTCAACACTTTCGTGGTTTGTTTCATCGATTGGATCTTGAATTTCCTGGTTCTTTGAAAAGAATTCGAAGTGATAATGGTGGTGAGTTTAAAAATGCTTCATTTGAACAATTTTGCAACGAAAGAGGTCTTGAACATGAATT